TTCTTTTTGAGTGGGTGTCAACCAGAGGGAGTGAATCCAGATTAATTTCCCTCAGATTCAGGGAGGAGTTTGGAAGAAGCAGAGAAATCCTGCTCTCCTTGCCTTCCAGCAGCTTCCTGTAGGTGGCAATCTCAATGCCGAGAGCCATCTTAACATTGAGCAGGTCTTGGTATTCACGAAGGTGGCAAGCCATTTCTTCCTTCATGTTTTGAATCTCATCCTGCAGGCGGCCAGTGGTGTCTTGGTAGTTAGCAGCTTCGACAGCAAAGTTCTCTTCCATTTCACGCATCTGGCATTCCAGGGATTCATTAGTTCCTTTAAGCGCGTCCACTTCACAGGTGAGGGACTACACCTGCCACCGGTACTCATTGGACTCCTGCTTTGCCTGGTGCAGGGTATCGTTGTTGCGGTTAGCATCTTCTGAGAGGTCAGCAAACTTGGACTTGTACCATTCTTCTGCCTCCTGAAGGTTCTTGGCAGCCACACTTTCATACTGCTGACGGACATCACGCAGGGCAGCCGTGAGGTCAGGCTTGGAAACATCCATATCGATTTGGACATGCTGTTCCTGAATCTGGGCCTGCAGCTCCGGAATTTCTTCTTCGTGTAGTTTCTTCAAAAAGGCAATCTCTTCTTGCAAGGACTCCACTTAGCACTCAAGGTCAAGACGTGCCAAAGAAGCGTTGTCAACATCCTTTCTGAAAGATTGCAGAGTGCTTTCCGCTTCCTCTCTCTGAAGCATCTCCTCCTGCAATTTCTCCCGAAGCCTCATGATGTCCTCGGCCAGGTTATAGCGCTCCACCTCCACGCGGGCCTTGTCGTTGGTGAGCTGATCCACCTGCCTGTGCAGCTCCCTCATCTCCTCCTCGTAGAGGTCCCCCAGGCGCGACTTGCCCTGGCCCTTGAGCTGCTCGAGCTCGGCCAGCAGGATCTTGTTCTGCTGCTCCAAGAAGCGCACCTTGTCGATGTAGTTGGCGAATCGGTCATTCAGTTCCTGCAGCTCCACTTTCTCGTTGGCGCGAGTGTTCTTGAACTCGATGTTGATGGCGTCGGCCAGGGAGAAATCCACCGAGTCCTGCAGCAGCCTCACGCTGGGCCGGCTGCTCCGCAGGCGCACTGCGGAGGAGCGCATGGCGTACACGCCGCCCGCCCCGGGAAGAGGTGTAGAGGCTGCGGCTGGGGGTTGGGGGGCGCGGGGCGGCCCGGC